AAGGCAAGAAAGAGAAAGGCATCCAAATTGGCAAAGAAGTAGTAGACCTCTCTCTATTTGCAGATGACATGTTCCTATATATAAAAAACTCCAAAGACTCAGCAAGAAAATTACTGGAATGCATTATAAGGTTCAGCAAAGTGGAAAAGTATAAGATCAATATGTAAAAATCAGTTGGATTTCCATACAATAATAATGACAACTCTGAAGAGGAGATTAGGAAAATAATACCATTTATAATAGTCACCCAAAAGACAAAATACTTAGGAATAATATAAGCTACAGAAAAAAAAAAAAAAAAAAAAAAGACCTGTGCAAAGAAAACTACAAAGTGCTACTACAAGAAACTAAAAGAGACTTACAATAATGGAAGAACATACCATGCTCATGGATAGGAAGACATAGCATCATGGAAATGTCAGCACTACCCATAGCAATCAATAGATGCTATAGATTCCAACATCATTCTTTAAAGAGATAGAAAAAATGATCACTAACTTTATGTGGAAAGGAAAGGGACCTTGGATAAGCAAAGTACTGCTTAAGAAGACGAAAAAAATTGGAGGCCTCTCGTTCCCTGACTTCAAAATTTACTACAAAGCCAATGAAACACAATTGAGAACTCAAAAGTAAACCCATCCACATACAGTCAGCTAATCTTTGACAAAGGGCCAAAACATATTAAATGGGGAAAAGATAGTCTCTTCAACAAATGGTGCTGACAAAACAGAAAATCCATTTGCAGAATGAAACAAGACCCATATCTCACACAATAAACAAAAACAATTACAACATGGATTTAAGACCTAAATATAAAACCTAGAACTATAAAGCTCATCGATAAAAAATGGGGTCAAATATAGGGACTGTAATATGTGGCATAAGGAGCTCTGGTAATGTAATGGTTATGAATCGGGCTGTGAACCACAAGGTCAGCAGTTCAAAACTACCAGCTGTTCCGCAAGAGAAAGATGAGGCCTTCTGCTCCTGTAAAGATTTACAGCCTCAGAAACCCTGTATAGGGTCGCTATGAGTCGGAACTGACTCCACAGCACATAACCACCACTACCACCAAAATATGGCATAAATACATTATCAAACATTACTAAAAACACAACAGCACACTAAATAGATGATTGGGACCTCCTAAAACTTAAGACACTTTTGTGCATCAAAAGATTTCACCAAAAATCTATAAAGGGAGGCAACAGATTGGGAATTTTTTTTTGCAATGACATCAGACAAGAAACTAACCTCTAAAATTTTTAAAAAACTACAACAACTCTATAAGAAAAAGACAAACAACCTAATTTAAAAATGAGCACAGGATATGGACAGATAATTCACAAAGAAGACATAAGGCAGCCAACAAACATTCATGATCATTAGCCATTAGTGAGATGCATATGCATATCAAAATAACAATTGAGATATCATCTTATACTAGCTTTAATACCAAAGTTCAAAATAACCCAAAACAAATGTTGGCAAGGGTGTGGAGAGACTGGGAAACTCCTACATTGCTGGTGGTTGTAAGTGGTTCAACTACCGTGGAAAATGGTATGGTGCTTCCTCAAAAAGTTGAAAATAGAAGCACTGTATGACCCAGCAATCCCTGTGTTGTTGTTAATGCTGTTGAGTCACTTCCAACTAGTAGAGATCCTGTATAGGTTTCCAAGAAACAGCTAGTGGTCTTGAACCACTGACCTTATGGTTCGAACTGACCTTTTGTTACAGCACATTATTACACAGTGCCACACCAGGACTCCATCCCTGTACTTAGTATATATTCAAAAGAAATACAAGCCAGGATACCAGTAAATATATGCACACCAATGTTCATTACAGTAGTATTTACAGTAGCAAAAAGATAAAGCCGTACTACATGCCCATCAGTGGAGGAATGGATAAACAAACTTTGGTACATGCACACAGTGTAATATTATGCAACATTGAAAAATAATGATGAATCTGTGAAACACCTCATAATGTGGATGAATCCGGAAGAAATGTTGAGTGAAATATGTCAGTCACAAAAGGACAAATACTATATGAGACGACTATTGTAAAAACTCAAGAAAAGGTTTTCATACTATAAGAAACATTCTTTGATGGTTACCAGGAGTGGAAGGGAAGGGAGAGTAATTCACTGGCTAGAGGGTAGACACATGTTACTTAAGGAAGGCAGTGTATAAGAAGGAGAAGGACAATATACAAGGAGAGGAAAGCTGACAAGAATGATGACGACAGGAGGTATGCAGGGACTAAACAGGATAGAGGTAAATAGTGATATATACACAGCCTTGGAACAACAGTGTTCTTTTTTTGTAGATACATGGACAGAGTCACAAGGTATGAGAGGGGGAGTAGAAAATTATATATGTGGACTCCTGGTGATGAGCATTGGACTGTGAACCACACAAGATCAGCTGTTGAAACCCACCAGCTGCTCCTTGGAAACCCACATATATAGGACTGCTATGAGTCAGAACTGACTCGATGGCTCTTAACAGCAGCAACAACAAGTGTTATCTAAAAAAATCAAACGTCATGAACATTAATAGGTTCCTGGTGTGGCGCTGTGGGCTAACGCATCAGACTGCAAAGTCGTTTGAACTGCAGGGTCGGTGGTTCAAGCTCATCAGCTGCTCCTTGGAAACCCTCATGCAATAGGTTTAGATTCCAATTAAAAAAACAGCAACAACTTTTTATTGTGAAATGAGTGCAGTTTTAAAGACAAGATCATCAGTTTTACATTCAGTGAGTCATACACTTTGTTTTTTCTCATATTTTATCCACTTCCATGCAATAACAGTTGTCCTGCTTGCTCCCTGTGGTTTCTCATGTACAAATATCCTCTTAGAATATCTTATATATTTGTGATATGTATATGTATATATATGTATGTGTATGTATATATATATGCATTGCTAGTGAGTTTGAACTACCAACCTTGTGGTTCTAACCGACCTTATGGTAGAGTGCTTATCTTACAATGCCACACAAGAACTTATCTGAGATAACAGGACAGGAACCTTGGTCTCATTGTAGGATAAACACTGGTCTGTTAACAGCAATGCTGGTAGTACAAACCCACTAGCCCCTCTGTGGGTGCTTACTGCTTTCATAAAGATTTACAACCTCATAAAGCACAAAAAGGTTCACTATTAGCCAGAATCAACTTGATGTTAGTGGGCTTTGTTTTTAGTTGAGATATTTATTGTTCTTTAAGTTTGTGGTCTATTAGATTTTCTGTTAGTAAATAGTTTCCTTAAGTATTTATATATCTTTCATGAAACTGTTATATATTACATATTTCAAGAAAGGCATACAAGGGTGAATAACAAGATTTGCTCATAGGTGTCCAGTTCACACATGCATGCATTTATTCCAAGCAAGAAATGTCTAAATATGTCTCTGTAATCAGTGGATGACTGCAGGCAAGTTTCTCAGTAATCCACTTGTCTTAGTTTTGTTAGGGTGCCTTCAAAAATTAGGTCCAATCAAAACAGTGACTTCCAAGGAGATCTGCTGAACAGGTTGCATTCAAAGCAGAGAGGTCAGTTTTAAAGGTTACAATGACTGGTTTTTGTTATCTCAAAGGATTCCTCTTGCTAGTTTTTGTGGAAGGACAAAGGATGGTCATGGAACTTACTATAAAGAATTTTTAAGAAAATTGAAAGCTCCATTTGTGAGAAAAATACCAGGAAAGTTGTATTGAACAACGTTTTTTCGTCACCACAATGCACTTGCTCATTCTTTTAGGGTAGCAAGGGCTGTCTGATAAAAATTTCATCATTTGTACCCATTTCCATACAGCACTGACTTTCTCCTTAAGTCTTCTTTTTGTTCCCCAAACTCAAAGAACATTGCAAAGGAACATAACTTGAGTCCTTCAGGGTGCCCAAACTGCTATTTTTATGTGGTGTAATTCTTTGGGGAGGAAGTGTACAGAATTCTTTGGGAGAGGGCTAGAGAGATGGAAACACTGCCTTCAAAAGTGTAGAGACCTAGATGAAGAATATGTCCAGAAACAATTATCTTCACATTTGATATTTTTCATAAAGGTATCTACAATTTTGTAGCGACACTTCTTAACTTACTGTCGTATAATAGGTATTTTTTAAATAAATGGGTCAATGAATAATAAAACCAAGTATTTGCATCAGTTATGTCTCTCAAAGGTGGTGTTGTTGTTAAGTGCCTGTGAGTTGGTTCCAACTCATAGCAACTCAAGGAGTGGCTAGTGGCTAGCCTTGTGGTCTAGTGCTTATCCTACAACGAGCATCAAACCAGGACTTCTCACTGGTAACTTTATTTCACTCTTTTTAAATGTAGAGTGTGTTGCATTATCTTTTCTTCAGTGTGAGAGTATAAAAGGGTTATAAAGTATGATTAATTGCCATCAAGTTGGTTGCAACTCACAGTGAACTTTTATGGGATTTCCAAGGAATGGCTGGTGTGTTTGAACTGATGATCTTGAGGTTCACAGTCCAGTGCTTATTCTATAGTGCTACACCAGAACTCCTAAAGTAAGATTATAGGGGGACTAATAAAAACACCCTTCTTTTTAAAAAATTACCTTTGACTTTCTAGACTAAAGATGATTATTATTGGTTTTGGTAAAAATCCATAAACTCCCAGGAGGTTATAAGATTGCAGTTAGAAGATTCTTTGACAGTATATCTGCTTTGATTTAACATTTTCTCTGTGTAGTAGGTTACATGTTAGGCTGCTAACTGAAAGGTCAGTGGTTTGAATCTACCAGCTGCTCATTGGGAGAAAGATGAGGCTTTCTACTCCCGTAAAGATTTACAGCCTTAGAAACCCTGTACAGAGTTGCTATGAATCGGAACTGATGTGACAGCATACAACCACCATAACCACCTGCTATATTACATTTTTGTATATTTTTTAAGAATGCCTACTTTAAAGTGATTAGGCAGAACTTTAAAAACATTTGAGCATTATTTATAGCAAAATTATTACATTTCTTTTAGTCATCTGAAGATGAAGATCAAATATTGCAGAAAAGCGAAGATTCAAATAGAAGATTCATTGAAACCAAAGAACCGGCTAATACTGCTTATCTTAACAAAGTGACACAACTTCCAGATGATAGGATTATTAAAAACAACACCAAAATTTCTAAACAGAATGAGAATTCTCACCCATTCTCAATGAAAAACAATACAGATAAGTTTTCTCAGTGTCATTGTAACTCAGCTTACATATTGCAAAACAAAACCAATAATAGCTGCATTTTGCACGTTGCAAAATGTGATGCTTGGGTACAAACAGAGAATGAACAAGCAGTAGAAGAAAAATTAGATGCTGCCATACAGTGTGATATATTTTCAGAATGTAAGTGTAGAAATGATGTGTCTTTTCTTAGTTATGTTGAAGGCTGTAGTGAAAATATTAAGGCAGATACCACTGGAGGGCAGGAAATCCTTAAAAACAACTAATAATTAAAAAATCTCAGCCTGTTGGGAGTTTAGTATTTCACTTGACCTACGAAGGCAATATTAGTCTTTAATTTTATTAACCCAGTAAGGAATGAGAAAATTGTAGCTAAGAACAAGATGAATTTAGAGGAAGTATATTTATGGTTTGTTTAAAAACATTTAATATTTCTTTATACAATTATTTTTTACATAGATATTTCTCTAAATGTTTTAATATATTTTCATGATTTTAGAAAATTATAAATTTATCAACTATGATTCTTTTGGTGTTTATTATAATATATTAAATGGATTAAAAATGTTTGATTGCTTTCTTCCTTATTGCATTTGTTTAAATAATTATGCAGTAGCATAGTCTAGCAAACATTTTCTTCCAAATGGTAAAGCAGAAAGTAATACTAAATAATATTAGATATGTATTGTTCAAACTATTTATCTTTGTGATACCCACATTAAAAATATAGCATTTTTAGCATTACTTTTTGGATAAAATATGTTCTCTGTTTGGATACATTTTTGTTGCTGATACTTGTATTAATTCAAAGGAAAATGTAATCCTCTGTAGGATTAAAAAATGTTTTAATGTTTTTATAAGAGAATTGTTCAAAATTTGAAAGATTTATGATCATTTTCATTTTAATGTTGTTAAGGTTGTTCTCATAAATATTGTATCAAGATATCTCTGTTCTCAAATATAGTCTTTGTTTACAATACAGTGTTTATTGTTTGTGTCAAGAAGATTTTGAATGTTGGTACTCTAAAATTGACATTTGTTTGGATATATTCCAAATTACAGTAGGGACATCCTGACATCTAACTGAATTGGAAATAAAATTATTAGGGGTTCCTATGCCTTGGAAATAAAGATTACATTGCATTTTCACATACACGCATATCACTCAATAGTTTGTGTTTCAGAGATGATTTGAAGCATAACAATTTAAAAACATCAACAGCTAGTGTATAAGCTGTAGCAATCTAAAGATTTCAGTTTGAGACTGTTGTCTCACAGGTAACATAATGAGCTCATAAACAAGTTTCTTAAAGTGTAATGATCATCTCATTAGGAGGAGAATATAATAGTTGGATGTACATTCATAGTTTTTCAAAAGGTTAGCTTTCCATCCACATATTCTATTACAGATTTTCGTGAGCATTGCTTTACAAAAATCTGGTTTATTATGACAGTGAAGACTCATATGAAAAAGATTGCTGTAGGATAAGTACTGGCCTGCTAGCCGCAAGGTTGATGATTCAAACACACCGGCCACTCCTTGGAAACTATACAGGTACTCTATGAGTCAGAACTGACTCAAGAGTACTTAACAACAATGTCATACTGGTGAAATTAGAATAATATTGAATTGAGAATCTTGGGATGATTTTGAATATCAAATAAACGGATTTTCTCAAATAATAATCAAAGTCTAACAATATTGAAAGCAAATTCATTACAAAGATCAGTAGCTACTTATATTTTTATCCATGCCATGATGTGACAGTTAAGCTCAGTGGCGTGAAAAAGAACACCACCAGGACTTTTAAAATACAATCACCACACATAGGGAGCATAGATAAGATACTCAAAGAAGATGTTTTTGGAAAGGAAATATTTACAAAGTATACTTACCAAATACATAATTGTTTAAATTTTTCTCTTGGTGAAACCATTTGATAAACAAAAAATGAAAAGCTATTGAAGTAAATGTAGTTTTCTTTTCATGTATGCTATTTAAGTTATATAAAACAAGGTAAATAAATATTGAATGTAAAGTAAATCCTAGTTATGTTCTATCAAGGTAAAACAAAATGGAAGAAATAATGATGCTGCACACATTTATAATGTACACTTTTAATCACAGTGACTCCAAATAAGACAGTATATACTGAATATTGGCTGCTGCTATGCAGTATTGAGCTAGAGTTGGTGTTTAATGAGGTCTGTGAAACAGTGCAGTGTTTTGTTCTGCATCAACCACTCTAGGAAGATGTTATTTGAATATGGGTTAGCTTTAGCGATATTTTCATATAATTTACTTTAATAGCACTATTACAACTTCAGTTATTTATGGAATTTCTTTTTTTTTGTACAGTGATTTTAAAAACAATGTTTTTGTAATTTCTTGGTTAATGTTTATTTTCCCCATGACACCAACATTTTTTCCTTGGCACTTTTCATTCCCATGCATGCAATCCTGATTTAAAGTTGCCAGTACCTGTGACTCTTTTCCTGAGGATTTTTCTTGACAGCAGACACCTGTTCTACCCATATAATGGTAAGTTGGAAGTACTAGGGAATAACGTTCCTTTAGAGAAGCACTTTTAAACAATGACTGACAGGAGTTGGTGTATAATTACACTAGTTTCCTTACTTCTTGGGCAGGATAACTTCCTCAGAACCACCTACTATATTAGTGCTACCCAAAGTATGATCCACTTACCAGTGGCATCAATGTTGTCACTGGGAGCTTGTTGGAAATGCAGATCCTTGGAATTTACCCCCCAAACTACTGTATCAAAATTTCTAGGAGTAAGTATTAAGAATCTGTATTTAAACAGATGATGTTGTTTTTGCACTCTTAAAAGTTAGAGAAGCATTATTCTTCTGCAGTTCCTCGGAATAATTAAGTTTCTGTTGCTTACAGTGATAACTTGTCTCATAAGACATCCTTTATTAATGTCTTTTCCTTTCTTCTCTCATTTCCCCACTTTTATACTGATGTTTCTCAAGATCACACCATAAACAAACTGTGATCTTTAAAGTATGCTCTTGAATCCTTATCTCATAAGATGGAAAACATTGTCTTTGTGGAGTATGTAATGCCAGTTGACCATGGTTTCCCTGAGTCTATGGTTCTGAGCCCCCAGGCATAGTAACTCATTGCCTTAAGATGTTTGATAAATGTCTAATAAGTTTTCATCATTTTGGCATCTGTATGTTCCACCACATTCATAGGTAAGTTTGTAGCAAAGGTAGACACCCATGAACAGATAACTTCCTTCAAACCCTTATATATTTGAGAGTGTACTACTACTCTTCCTTCAATACCCATTTAACCTGTCTATGCACAGAACACTGTTGTATCAAGGATGTGCATATAATATTACTTACATCTATTCCATTTAGCTCTTGTTTACCTCCCTGTGTTTTCATCTGTCTTCATCATTCTTCTGCTAACCTCCCTCTTCAGGTTTGTTGCTCTTCCTGTAATCCAAGTTAAGATGTGTCTACCCAGTAGCAAGTGAATTCCTTTCCCTTCTCTCCCACCCCTAGTAACCATCAAAGAATGGTTCCCTTAGTATGAAAACCTTTTCTTGAGTTTTTACAACAGCGGTCTCATACAATAGTTGTCATTTTGTGGTGGACTAATTTCAATCAGCATAATTCACTCTAGGTTCATCCATGTTTAAGGTGTTTTGCAGATTCATCATTATTCTTTACCATTGCATAGTATTCCATTGTGTGAATGTACCAAAGTTTGTTTATCCATTCTTCCATTGATGGACATTTAGGTTGTCTGCATCTTTTTGCTATTGTGAATAGTGTGGTGTGCATATATGTACTCATGTCCTAGTTCGTATTTCTTGTGAATATATGTCAAGTACTGTGATTGCTTGGTCCTATGGTGCTACTTTTTTTTGTTTGTTTGTTATTGTGAACTAAGTGATAGTTTACATGGGAGAACAGCAGCTTTATACCATCGTTTGATGTGGTATTTCTATTGCTAACTTTCTGAGGAACTGCCTACAAGTTTCCACAGTGGTTGAACCATTTACAACCCCACCAGCAATGTAGAAGGGTCCAAATCTCTTCAGACCCTCACCAATATTTGTTACTTTCTAATTATTTTTTTAAAACTTTGCTTTTAATACTGGGTCAAGATGATGTCTCATTGTTGTTTTGATTTGCCTCTGTTTGTTGTACTGTGGTGACTTGCATGTTGCTGCAGTGCTGGAAGGTATGCTACCAGTATTTTAAATACCAGCAGAGCCACCCATGGTGGACAGATTTCAACAGAGCTTCCAGAGTAAGACAGACTAGAAAGAAGGTGAGGAAGACTACTTCTGAATGTTTAGCCACTGAAAAACTTTGAATTTGGTCAGATATAGTTCCAGAACAAAATATGACCTAGATATACTCCACCTGAATTAAGAGACCATCTCAAGAACAGATTTTATGCATTAGAGACTAATTACTGACAACCAAAATTGTGGGATGACATCAAGAACATTATACAAGAAGAAAGGCTCCCCAACGAGATGGATTGGCACCGTTGCAGCAGCAGTGGGCTCAGTGTAACAATTGTGAGGATGGTGAAGTACTTGTCAGTATTTCATCCTGTTGTGCATGGGGTTGCTATGAGTCAGAAATGACTTGCTGATACCTAACAACAGCAACAATGGTGAACACGTCTTCATATGTTTATTGACTGCTTGAATGTCTTACTTGGTAAAGTGTATGTTCTGATGCTCTGCCCATTTTTTAATTGGGTTGTTTATCTTTGTCTTGTAGAGGAGTTGACGGTTTCTAAACATTTTAGAGATTTGTCCCTTGTATGACATGTCATTGCAACAAAATGTTTCCTAATTTGTGGGCTCTCTTTTTATGAAATCTTTTGCTACACATAATTGTCTAGTTTTTAGGTTGTCCCAATTGTCTATTTTGTCTTCTGTTTGTGTGTTTTAAATTACGTTTGACAGTGTTTTGGGCCATATATTAGAGTCCCTAAGTTAGTCCCTAAGGAGTTTTGGTAACGTTGTTGCTGTTATGTGCCATGGAGTCGGTTCTGACTCATAGTGACCCTGTACAGGGTTCCGAGGCTGTAAATCTTTATGGGAGCAGAAAACCTCATCTTTCTCCCGTGGAACAGCTGGTAGTTTCGAATTGCTGAACTTGCAGCTTGCAGCCCGATTCGTAACCACTATGCTACCAGAGCTCCTCAAGGAGTTCTGATAGCATAGTGGTTGAGAATTGGACTGTGAACTGCAAGGTCAGCAGT